TGATTGTTTGCGCGCTTCGAAGTCAAACCATCACTGGTTCGATTGTGTGACGTACTCGTGTCATTTGCAATAAAAAAGAACACTTAACAAGGATAATTAATGAAATTATAACAAATGCCGGGATAAACGGGCCAAAAGTGCCACAGTAATATTAACAAAAAGAGTAATAATAAATATGATAAATCTAAAAATAACAATAAAATCTATGCTCCAAACTCATTGTAATAATATAACAAAACAAATCGTATAAAAATAAATATAATATTTTAGCCCAGGGCCCCGGGCTCCCACAAAATGAGGGCCTCTTCTCAGTGGAATTTTTTTAAATATAAAACATGATAATATAATATTTTCAAAATAGATTTAAATCACAACTTCAATAAAAATGTTTAATCGTTAATAATGTCATAAATATATAAATAAATCTTATTATTAATATACTTGTATATTATAAATTCATAATAATATGTTGTGAATTTTCAAATATAAATTTAAAATCGATTATTATGGACATTTAGAGCATAGGATAATCCCGATTGAATAATATTCGTAATTTTGTATGCTTTTAAATACTAATAAAAAAAAAAAACAAGTTATAAATAAACACATACAACTTGTGAAGAAAGCCGCCTAGCCAATGTTCTAGATAAACACAACAATACGTACCGATTAAGTTGTAAATAAAAATATGCTATAGCTGATAACGTAAATAAAGATGACAAGGTGAGACATGAAAGACTGAGGTTTTACGAAAAATTGATATAGATGGAAAAGACCTACAATTCATAACGAATTTGTATTGGCATCAACAAGTTAATATTAGAATAAATAACACATTTTCTAATGACTTTAAAATTCGAAGAGGAGTTCGACAAGGATGTATCCTTTCGCCATTGCTTTTCAATCTATATTCAGAATAAATAATGTCAACGGCCTTAGAAGAAGCAGAGGAAGACATTGTTATAAATGGGAAAATTATAAACAACTTAAGATATGTATTATAGATAATGATTAGCAACATCGAAGACTTACAAAAGATATTAGACAAAGTAGTAACAGCTAGTGAAAACTTAGGTTTACATTTAAATGCCCAAAAAACCAAATATATGATAATTGATAAAGAACCGGTAAATCTGCATAGACTTAACAATGTCCCCTTAGATAGAGTACATAAAATTAATTATCTTGGACAACCATTGATAGATAACTGGAACCATTCGCACGAAATAAAATGTCATATAGAGAAAGCAAGAGTAGCTTTTATGAAAATGAAAAATATATTCTGTAGCCATCAACTAAGTATAAATCTCCGAATAAGAATGGTTCGTTGTTATGTATTTACCGTACTTTTTTATGGAGTAGAGACTTGGACTTTATCCAAAGTTTCGATCAACCGAATCCAAGCGTTCGAAATGTGGATATACCGCAGAATATTAAAAATTAGTTGGTGCGATCACATAACGAATGTTACAGTATTGGAACGAATGAACAAAAATCTGGAAATAGTAACAACAATAAAAACGCGTAAACTTCAATACCTGGGACATTTTATGCGACATACAGAAAAATATAGTCTACTACAATTAATAATACAAGGCAAAATAGTTGGAAGAAGGAGCAGTGGAAGACCACAAATTTCCTGGATGGACAAACTCCGAATATGGTTCAATACATCAATATCTCTATTCAGAACAGTCGTTATTAGAGATCAAATAGCTAATATGATTGCCAATGTTCGATAACGAATACGGCACTCGAAGAAGAAGAAGAAATATTATTATTATGTAATCGAAAAAAATATCTACTTCTAAGGTTGGGTCCAGGGCTATCACATTCCTAAATCCGGCCCTGCATATAATAATATGATTTCAAAGAAACATCGATGATGACGATAACGCAATGCACCATCAGTGGCGCTGGAACAATTTTTGAACCGTGGGGATTTTCACAGCTACAAATATAGGGGAAGGTATTATATTATACCTATATTATTATAACGGCTGTGTCCGATCACATCCGTTGTTTGTAATCAAATGATTCTTGAAATAAATTAGATTACAAATCTATTGTACAGTTGCGATAATAATTTCCTATTCTAAAAGCTATTCTATTTTGGTGTTGGGGTTAAATATTAAATCATTTCTATAAGGGGTAATTGTCTCCATGTTATCTTATTCTTATATATATATACCTCATATACTACATAAAATATTAACTGCTACTAATATAGTACATGCAAGTTATTTCTAAATAAAACTATTAGTATACTATATATATATATACTATATATTAGTACATGTATGTTATTACTCAAAACAGATAGTTTTTTAAATATATTTGAGTTTTGTTTCTATATTCAATATAAAAACTAATGTAGAAGATAGCCTATGTATTTTAGTCACGAGAATGTACATTCTAGGAAAATGTCCGTGGGGGCTATGCCCTCACGGAATTTTTCCCGTGTGAGCAGTTGCCCCCATTGTTCCGGCGCCTATGTGCACCATCATTGTATTAAACTTTTCAACATACCCAATTGGCAATGGATAATTTGATTCATTATTTTTGTACTTAATTTCTGTATTAGTCTGTATTAGCATTCAACTGTGATTATTTCATAAAACCTTTAATATCTTTTCTAATTTCTACGGTCTGAAGACTAAACTACGAACTACTTATATAAATAAGTATCCAAATATAGTTTATTATGTTCATTAAAATGTTGCAAAAATGTAGTCATTACTATAGACGTTCGGCCCCCCTCTGATCGCCGGCCCCCTTTAAAAAATGAGATCAGTCCGTGGCCTGACCTAAACATATACTCGGCGCCAGTGGTAGCGGGTACAACAATAAATTGTCCACTAATTATAATAAATAATTACTATTGAAAAGAAGTTGACAATGAAAACATATACGGTTGGTGAGGGGTATGCCGTGCGACCCAAAAGATCTTAATTGCCTGTTAAACCGTGATAAGAAGTACCTATTCCAAGAATATAAATTAATATTGATTATTATTATTATTATTATTTACTGAATATGGCTATTTATTAATTCTTTATATTATTTTATATTATGAGGGAAAAGAACAGTCTGCTTGGAATATTTTAAGAGGACGTCGCACACGTACGACATAATACATTTTCTTTTGCCGGTTTCAATAGTGTGCTTTTAGTTTTGAAATTAAACTGAATTGACCTATTATCAAACATTTAGGTAAGAACATTATCTGTGTTCTCTCGTTGTTGTTTTTAAGATATTTTAATTTTTAAGATAGCTATAATTGTTATGAGTATGAAAAATGTTAAATGCTCATAATTCATTTAAAAATTAAAATATCGTAAAAAACCAACGAGAAAACATAGATAAAGTTCTTACCATCAAGTTTCATTATAGGTCGATTCATTCTAATTTTTTAACTAACGAAGCTAAGCCTAATCTGCTGAACGTAAATTTGCCCATGTTCTGCACTTGTAAGATGGAGACAATTGTCTGTATAGCGTCGACCTAATACAACAGTTATAATAATAATAATAATAATACCATAATAATAATTATATTTATATTGTATTATTATTTATTTATTGTAGTTAACTATTATGATTTATAACTTATATGTCAAGTAGTTAAGTCAAAAAACTAATTCAATATTTTCCAAAACCGTTGTTGCAAATTCAAATATTCGATTCTGCATTGATAGTGATAACATTAATAATAAAATAGGTGATTGCTAATGGGTAAAACTTTTTTATGGCAGAACAAATTACTAACAGCGCAACCTATTGACATGGCTCCCACACTACTACAATTCTGGCTCCATTTCACTTTATAAAGCATTAATGATTTTTCCTATCGTTTGGACTATCTATGTATATTTAATCAATGGTATTAGTGTATATCACGATTAAAGATATAAGTATATAGATCTTAAATCGTGTTAGTGAATACTGAGAATAGCAACAAGGCAACATTAATAACTTATTAGTTATTGGTAAATACGTACGGTTAAATAAAATAAATATACTGATTTATATGGAATAGTTCTAGAAATCTTAAGAATGTTGAAAGTTTGGTTTTCAAACATTTTACTGAACTATTTATATTTTATTTTACTTGTATTGAACTATTTTTAAGAACATACTATTCATATATAATAAATACGACGGTTTAAATTTTTTTTTTAATATTTAATTTAAAATTTATTCAATATCACTCAAATAAAAATAATTATTTTAATATTGTTGTGTATATATTTATTTTTATAGAACTTAAATCAAAATGTAGATTTGGTTTATTATTTAGGCTTATGGTTATTTTATAATTTTGTGTAAAAAATGGATAGACAACCTGGCTATTGTCAATAGATATACATACATGAGACTCATTTCTATTGGTATTTATATTAAGTGGGCTCTAATTATATCCAGTTTCCCGATAGGGCAAATGGACCCAGTACACGCCTGGTGTTGAATCATCAAATTATGTATTGTAAAAGTACATTACACATGACATGCATTTATAGAGGGGAAAACTCAAAACGAGATAGTGTACATTTAAAATATAATATTTATAAATAATCTATCTAGCTGAGAATTAACTGGATTGGGAACGCGTATTATCTAAAATTAAAACAATTATAATTTTCCCATCGGGATTTTAGACCAATTCTTGTAAAAATATATATGCGTTCGTCGTTTTAAACGGCGATCAATAACAATAATTGTTCGACGTCGTTACATTTTCTGCGGTATGACGAACCCTTGAGAAACAATCGCCGAGCCCAAAGGGCGGAGCACAGTTTGGGAACCGCTGAACCGGATAATGCAAAGTTTTTTGCACCAGACCGTATCAATTCTGAACAAACGTGAGCGACAAAATAATGAAAAATTCGGCACGAGACCCGTCCGTATACAGTTTAATCTTGACTTGCGTTTCCCGCCCGTCCGCCATATCAAACGTTACCGCCGCGATATCAGCTGCTCGTCAGCCGACCGACTCTGTGACTTTTGTTCGTCCCGCGGCGTCGGATCGACAACGGAACGGACGACCGGCAGACCTGGAAAATCGTTCACAGGACGGAACGTCGTCGCCGCGGAACACAGGCGGACCGGAAAATTCGATTGTTCGGTTTCTATTGCCGTTATTCTCGACGACGCGTGATGATAACGCTTATCGATACCGCAGTTCGGAAGATAGTCCGGTCGTGATTAATTTTTTTTTTCTTCTATCATTTCGGTTCTCACTCGTGATCGGTCGCCCGCTCGGCAGCGATGGATTCTTAATGAAATACGTGACAAACTCGATATGTAAGATCCGTGTACGATTTTCGTCTGCGAGCGTGTACGATTGTCGTGGGCACGTTGATATTTTCCTTTTCGACTTTTCAACGGCCCCCGTGCACCCGTTCGACCGTGAATCGCCACCTCGCGATGTACCGCCGTCTCATCAGTTCTTATCCTTGTAATACCACCAGGTAAGTGATTTATATTATTATTATTATAATAATTCGCTATTCTCATCGTGTACAATCTTTGCAATGCGTTCACTCCGTTTTTCTCTCTTCCTCTCTCTCTGTCTTTCACTTTTATTATCTTGGGTGTGTCTCAGTTTTTTCCCATATCTAGAGCCAGGTTTAAAATGTATTCAAACCCACTCATGTTTCAGCCCTTGAGATTTTTCAAACAAAAGACTTTGTGCATAGATTCAATATTGCCTACCAATGGGGAAAATCATCACCGATTTCTATAATGGAATTGAAACGTTTAAGGTTTGTGTAAATTTAAATATATACAGATATGAATTTTTAGGTGTATAAATATGTTTCATTTAATTTTTTTTTTTTTGTGTAAACAGGAGCTGCTGGTGACAGCATTAGACAATGGAACCGTTGTGTTTGATCGATGGTCAGATCAAACAACTCAGTTTGTACTAGAAGCATGGAACTCCAGATCTATACAAAGCACCCAAGAAGGGCTGCATCTGGCATGGGAACAATTTATGCTAGCTTGGTTACAGACCAAATACACATTTCAGCAAGACTTGAATTTGTTTGTTGATGCACTACAATCAAAAATAATTTACTTAACTGGCAATAGTCGTAAGTTTGGAATCATTGCATTTCTCATTTTTGTGCCATATAGAAAAATGTGTAATTTATTATTGATTTTATAAATTATTTTATTTTAATATTTAAGACTAATAACTAACATTTTTCCAATTAAATAATTAAAATATTATTAATTTTAATTTTCACAATAGATGGTATTATTAGATAACTTTTAAATTATATTATTTTCTATGTTTATAGTAAATTTAATAAATATTTTTAAATTAATTTTTCATTTTTTACTATTTAAATAATTATATTTTTATACGTATAAAAAATAAATAAACTTTATTTTATTTATTTTATTTAATAAACTTAAATTATTTATTTATTACTTATACTAATTTTAATATTTATTTAATTAATTTTATATTCCTATTACTTACATTTTATAATTTTTTTTTTTTTTAGTCAACCGAAGTCATGTTTATATTGGTTTTGCTGGTCTTTTTGTTGGTAGTGGTGTTGGGTTCTTGATTGGTATTAGTGTAAAGCCATCTGCTATAACCGTTACCCATATGAAAGCTGCATCTGCAACCAGTTATAATGGAATTGAAGTATTATTTTATTTCCTGACTTATTGTATTCAAACATAACTAAACATTAACTTAATTTTAGAGTATATCATTACTAGAAGATGTTGTGACTCCCAAAATCACCGAATCTAATCAAGTTATGATAATGGTCAGAGCTGCTGCATTAGATCCAATGGATATTTTAGTTGCATCTGGTTATGGATCATATATAAGGAAATTTTTAATGAGGCATACATTGAGTGTAAGTAAAGAATTATGTGAATAATTAAAATATTTAATATGAAAACCTCTTGGTACAATACATTTTATTGAAGTTTGGTAAAACTTTTCTTAAATTAATACGTTTTTAATTTTATGTATTCATATTTCATATAATAAATCAAATACTGCTAAAAATGTTCGTAGTCTAAACATAAATACTGCCAGTACTTCAAACAAATATTATTCTAGAACAACACATTGCATAACAATATCATAAATATATTTAAATAGTACACCTAAATGTTATTCAAACCATGTATAAACTATTTTAAATTTTCTCCCTCTCTTTTTCAATATAACAACGTAAGCATTCTGGCTACAGTTCCATAAATGTACAAATTGTCTCCAATAAAATGTCTGCTGCTGTCTTCACAATACTTCGTGGTCCAAATTTGTGTGTCGTTTTTTTACATGCTCTCTTCTCTTAACTGTTCTATAACCCATCATTGAGTAATCGAACAGGTTCAAATCTGGGCTTATGAAGGTTCAACAGATGCCTTAATGAAATTCAGAACATCATTTTCAAGTCACTCTTGTGTTATTTTTGCTTTATAACTAGCTGCCGAATCTTGTTGGAATACCCAATTGATTCCTTTGAACAATTAATAATTAAGAGGCTTTACTATAGGGTCTAAGACCAGTTGTCTATTAAACACAAGCCTGGGTTTTAACCTGTTTCTCACAGAAATAGATTTGTATTAAGCCATGACATGACACAACCTACCAAACCATTACTTGAATTTGGCGGTGATCTCATTGAATGCGTGAAACTTTCTCTTTGGCCTCTAATGACAATCTAGCATATACCCTATAATTTTGTTTGTTATATTTTTCCTTTAAGATAAATATTTTTTCATATGTAAATAAAATTTGTGTACATTTTACTGGCCATACGAGCATAGCAGTTTTTTTGATTTTTCATGTCTTTAATCCATCCATCAATAGATGGCTCATACATCTTTTATATGCACGCAAATCTAAGTCAACTTGTAATATTCAAGGGAACAACATACGTTGATTTTCATCTCTTCGAGCAATGATTTTCTGATTTTGTAGTGGGTAAAAAATTTCCCTCAACTATATAACATTGACAGTATTTGTATCTAGATTATGTATATTTATACCTCACAAATATAATTATTCTACAACTCAAACAAATAAATGGTTTAGTAATATATTTTTGTTTATTAATTAATTTTCAATCAATTCAATTTTTGTTTACAGAAATCAATTCATCGAGAATTCCCACTAATATTAGGTCGAGATTGCTCGGGTGTTGTTATTGATTTAGGGTCAGATGTAAGACGTGACATAAACATTAATGATGAAGTTTGGGTATCGCTGCCACCATGGTCTCCTAGTGGTACACTATGTGAAACTATAGTAGTACCTGATAAGTATGTGGGACATAAGCCTCGTACATTACCACATGAACAAGCAGCAACCCTTCCGTACTCTGGTTCATTAGCATGGTTAGCTGTATTTCAGACAGCTAATTTGAACCCCTTAAGTGCTATAGATAAAAAGTAAGGCTATAATAGGGTCAGTTTTACAATTCATTGGTTAGTTAATCGATGATCAAATTTTAATTATAGATTAAATAGACAAGTGAATTGTATAGTTGATGGTTCGGCTGTGATTAGTTAATCAATGAATTATATAATATTTTCATTAATTTTGATTTAAGTTGATATTCAATTTTGATATTTGTTTATTACTAATTTTATGAAATATTAAATGAAATTTAAATAATATCCATTATTGCATTTGGTTTTTTTGTTGTTGTTATTAAAATATTTTAAATTTAAATTTACTTTGATTATTATGAAGCAATCCTCATAGTTGATGAAGCGTGTAATAATAATGATCAATTCGAGATTGGAATATTCTTTGACACCTCGAAAAAGCAATTATAACTGCAAAATTTTCAAATTCCTCAGTACCCCAAAATATAAAGAATAAATTTATTTTACTTTTAGTAGAAAAAATTAAAAATATATTATAATTTATAAGTATTTAAATTTGTTAGTTGTTATTTTTGTATTTTTTAATATTATATTCAAATTTCAATATAAGAATTACACTGTGGTACAATGATTTATTTTAATTTAATCAAATTTGAATCTAAAAATCTAAAAAGAATTATACAGGTTTTATAATTTATCTTTTATCTAACTGTTAATTTAAATTATTTTTAAAAAAATTAAAAAATTTACTGAAATATTTATTTAATTATTAAAATCTCAAAAATAAGCATTTAAAATATAAAACTATAAAATATCCAAAAATATGCAAAATAAAAATAGTAATATTTGATTCAGTAGAAAATGAATCAAATTTGTATCTAGACCCACATTAAATTGAATCAATAGAAATAAAATGTGCAATTTAATAAATATTGGAGCCCTATTCATAAGACATTTAATAAAAAAAAAACAAGGAATATGAGTTTTGAAAGAATAAATTATTAACAATGACTTTTATAATTTAGATAAATACCAAAATTAATCAGTGTTTACCAACGTTGGATGTTTGACTAACTTAACAATCTTATAATTAATGATTAAAAGGTGACCAAAATCGTTAATTATAGATTATCACTTAATCACTGTTTAACCAACTACTGTACAACTGGCCCATAAAGTAATTTTTTTTTAAATTAAAATAATAATAATAATTTACATATAATTCATTTTTATTAGAAAATATGATACAAGTATAAATGTAATATTATTTTATTTTTGTATCAAATTTATTTAATACAAATTTTAAAATGTTTGAAATATCTGTATTGATATGCTATTTATGGTACATAATATGTATATATGTCAATATTAATATATTAGTATAATATAGGTAATAATATTAATGTTAATTTTTAAATATATTCTGTATTCGTAATAAATTCTTTTAAAATTATTTAAAATTATTTTTAAATTTATTTCAATAACTTAAATCTAATCGTTTATTGTAATTTATTGAACTATTAAACATTGTTTTATTAATATTTTCTGTTTAAAATTAACAATTATTATTTAAATATAATAATTTATGTTAATGATTTTCAGAATTTTTGTTTATTGTGAAGATACTGGTACAGCATCAATAATCGTACAGCTTTGTTGTTATTTGAAAGCTAACGTTACTGTTGCTTGCCCTAATCGTGTGTGTCATTTCATGAAGTACCTTGGTGCTACCACCACTTATGAAACTGAATCCTCCAGTATAGATCAATTACTTAGTACCGCGCCAAGCGGGTAAATTAAATAATTAATTATCTTTTGATTTTACTTTGATTATATATAAATTATTTACTTATAGGTACGATTATGTATTTAACACTGCAGGCGAACTTAAAAGTAATTTATGCAAACAATTGTGTAGCATTACTGGTTTAGTAGTAACTATTGGACCACACCGTTTACCATCAGATACATATGGACCTGTACAAGGATTTTTCTATATGTTATGGCTTAAATTTGTTTATGTGAGTTTGCCTTGACTATAGTTAAAATAAAAACTTTTATAAATAATAAATATGATTAAATCTTATTTTAGATATTCAAAGGTAACAAATGTTGGGACCATTATGAATTTGATTCTAGAATACTAAACGAACTTTCTAGCATGGCTGATGATTACGTTCTCAAACCTGTATTGGATAAAACATTTATGGAGCATGAATTGGAACGCGCATTTAAACATGTTGAGAGCAGACAACCCATTGGTAAAGTAGTTATGAAATTCAGGTATGTCAATAGATTTTCTTTACTATAGCAAAACTTAATAAAATAACATTATCCGATTTCACTTTTCAGTAATTTAAATGGACCTACCGTTATGACGCCCAGACCTTCTGGACTTTTATTTTAGTAATTTAAATTATGTTGGAACTATAAGTTTGTCAAAATAATGTGTGTTGAGTTAATAATTATAATTTTTTTTTTGTTATATATATATTTTTTGTGTATGTAATAATGCGAATGTATAATTGTAATACAATTTTTTAATTGTTGAATCAATTTATTTATTTTACTTGTTTCAATCTAGTTTAAAAAATACAATATTATATTTTATAGTATAGATTCTAACTAAAGTTTGTATAAACATTTCAATAACTCCATTTTTTTTTTCTTATGAATATATTATTATTTATAATTGGAAATTATCAGCAGTAAGACATAATAGTAAGAAAAATGCTTTATTCATTTTTTAAAAAATATAAATAATGAAATATATTCATCTACAATTTTGTGGTGTTACAAACAATGTTAAAACAACACTTTTTAAACTTTAGTTTTTAATACTTGCGTAAAAGGACTGAGAAGTTCTTGGTCGATTAGATAATGAATATATTACCAGCAATGGGTTGAATTCATCATACTAAATTATCTAAAATCTTTTTCTATCAAATACTTAAAAGAAAATGGATAACACTTATATTGTTGACTTGATATTCTATAAAATTTTAAATCTTAGATTCAAGAGACAATGTTTAAAATTAATCTAGTATTATTTATATTTTAGTGCATCTTAAAAATTACATTTATTATTTTTACTAAAAATGATTGTGATTTTTTAAAATTGTATAACAATATGTTTTATAGATAAGTTATTTATCGTTCCAGTTTGTACAATTTTGTATGATTATACATTTAATGATATTTTAATAACTGATAAATATTTCATAAATACAATCAATTCCATATTTCAATTCAGTATTATTTGATTATTTATGACAAATGATATTAAAGGAATCTGGAGAAGGTTTTATCAAATATTCATGCAAATCAAAATATCAAACAAAAACTGTGTATGAAAAATATTTCATGTGACTACAAATGCTATTTGTAGTTGGTAAACTGTAATAAATAAGTATTAAAATATTTAATAATTTCCTTGTCATTTTATAGAAACTATAGGAATGGTAGTGATTAATTATATATATATATATATATATATATATTACTTATTAGTTGAAGTCATTAGTTTAAATTACATATACATTTATAATACACTGCCAAATAGAAAGAGGGCTTCCCAAAATGCCTATATTCAACAATTCGCCTATAGCACGAATCTTGAAATGTATTCCTATGAATATATGTGTGCCTGCAACCAGTAGAGTTATTCGAAGGTAGGCAATTATCTCCGTATAATTTTATGAATACCTTGATAGTGTTAGTTTCTTATGAGATTGGCCTACCTACTTGTAGTCATAAATATTAAAAAATCCATGTAACAGGAGAAAAATCTGAAACATTAAATCGCCAACAGGATACCGCGACGCACTTGTGGACGTTAACCTTATGGCAGGCGCGCTACTATGTATTACATGGGCAGGCGCGTATCGTACTTTATACGACAGAATGCTTTTCATATATATTTAATTAAAATAAAGGATAAATAAATAATTTTTAATAGAAATATTTTTTTGTAACATTTTATTCTTATTTATATAATACTTTATAATATTATATATATAATATAAATAAATAATCTAATTCTAGTCTGATAAATTTTCGTCATTACATGTCTGACAAATTATTTCATGTTTGCTAGAATGCTTCTTACATGTGTACAACTTGCATTTATAGCATATCATTGTAGCAGATGATCTCTTTCTTTCGATCGTACATAAACGATAAACTCTGCGCTTCTTAGGAGGCTCCTGTACATCTTCGACAACGTTTTCCATTTGGTATTTTTTTAAAAAAAACTGATACATCCATTGGTAATGTTTTAATTTTCGATCTTGAAATAAGGTGTTCTTTCATTAGACTCATAGACAAATTTTTTAGAAAAATTCTACACCGATTCGGTGCATCATTCGGCTTTGAAAATGCATATAAAACTTGTGCGTTTATTCCGGCAATGTTCATTAGACTATAAAAAATCACACAAGGCCAACGTTTCGTAATTCTAGACACAGTATAAGTAGCACAAATTTTATCGACAGTATCTACACCATCTTTTGTACTATTATAATCCATGATTATTTCTGGCTTTTTAGAAAAAAGCAATACACGAAAATAAAGAAAAATATTTGTATGAAAAAAAAAATAATATTATTACGACCAGGCGCGAGACGTATTTCGTGCGATCGGACGGAGTTGATTGAAATATACATCGATAATAATTTGAAAAATACGTAAGATTAGATAACAATTATTAAGTGTTTACAACATATACGTCATTGTGGAATAGGAAAAACCCCAGTATTAATCGGGATACGTAGATAAAAGTTATGTCAATTAATCTATAATTGTCGTACAAAATGCGCATACGCGCCTGCTGAAAGGTTAACGGATTAAATAGTGCGTGATCATTTTTTTCAACAATCCGAATTGCTAATGTCGTTCGATTGTTTCGTACCGAACCAAGAGCTGGTCTGTGCATACAGAGAAGGATAACTTTTTCACGACCACAGTGTTCTGGTTCGTGAACTATCTGCTCGATGCGTGCTGTTACGAACAACGGTGCAACATCAAAAATATTTCCTAGTATTTCTGCAAGAGCTTTTCCCGGGAACGTCGGTACCATTCACCTTGACTGTATTCGGACGCGGCGCGGGACAGCGAGTTGGATTTAGACGGAGGGGACGACGACGTCGATACCGGTTTCTTCAAACCGTACGCGTTCACCTCATCGCCGCGGCACACCGACGAGACGTCTAAAGGTACGGTTTCCAAGGCGCGGCGACTAGCCGTCGCGATCAGCCGCCGAAGTCTGACTGGTTTCCTAGACATACAAATCGCCGCGGCTCTAAACATAATATCATTATATGTTTAGTCGTTCTTCGCATTTTGTTGTGTTAAGACGTATATTTATATACGTATATAAGTGTTAAACCATGTCTGATTTAATGCGCGTTTTTAATAATAACAAAATGATCATTGATTTGCTTGAAGAAGAGGAGGAAGAAGATAATTTATTTTTACGTAATTATTTAAATCCAAATAAAAGGAAACCAACTAAGGTCTTTGTGCTTTAAATCAGCACTGTCGTATAAAACAGGATTTTTCCGGACTTCCTCTAAAAGTATTTCCTCATGTTCCGGCAAAAACACAATTTTTGACATTATTATATTATAATACTAAAATATTATTATATGTTCGATATTATAATTATTATTCAATACTACAATAATTATTATAATTCAATACTAGAATATTTGTTAAATTATGGTAGTATATAATATATAGTATATACTACTATCAGCGACTGCAAAAGTTTTAACACTATTTTCGACTGGAGTCGCCGGCGCCGATACACTGCTCTTATCGCGATAGAGCCGCCGGCCGCGGCGGCTCTAGTTCAGTCGCGAGCCGCAGCCGCGCCTTGGAAACCGTACCTTAACAGCGAGGACGCCGTGAACAGCGAACACTTCGACGGGGCCCGTCGTAAGATATTTTCCACCTTAAAGCGAAAATTGTACTCACTCTTTATTATATTGCAAATCGGAATTATAATACGCTGTAATAATTTACAGTCACGTGAAGCTACGGTAATAATAAAGATGCATAACAGTAATAATTGTCGATATTTATTAAATGTTGCAACATTAATTTCTTTAAAATTGTATGCCGCCCTAAAGCAATACATGACGAGTTGCTCTTGTACTCTAGCGACGGGCCTGACTGCAACGCCGAGTTTACGAGAACTACGAGATTTGTTGGCGGCATTGCAGACGGATTTCGAGGAAAATTCGGCGACGGACGAGGTTCGAAACCGTATACTTGCGATGTTGGCCGAGGACGAACAACGCGGTGACGGAAACAATCGTTAATAATGATGATGACATTGATAATATTGTTAACACGTTCCCCCCCCCCAAAAAAAAAAGAAAAAGTACTGCAAAAACTAACAACATTTCAATGATAATTGGGTAAAACTTTATTTTTCTCTGGGTCTGATATTTTTGATATTGTACCAAGAAATTAAAAATATAAAGTTAAGTATTATTAATCAGGATTGGTAATATTCGCGTATATAATAAATATGTATGTATAATATGTAATATGTAATATATATACATATTATGTTTTTAAAATTTGCACCTAAAAATAAATTAAAAATCTTTCCTATTACAGCCCCATACAGCATTTGTTAATCAAAATAATTGTATAACTATTTAATTTTGATTAAAATTAAAAGTTAATACTTTATTGAATAAATGTATAGTTATTTTATTTTAAAAATAAAATATTTTATAATATTTATTAAATATTTTAATATTTATATTTGATTTTCAATGGTAATAGTTATTAAAATAAAATAAATATATTAACTTTTATTCAATTTATGAGTTTAAATACTTATTTAATTCTTAACTCTCAATATTCACAAAATATTCATAATTTTAATTAAATTTATAGTTTATATAGATTTAAAAATAAATATTACATTTTCAGGTTTTTGACACACAATATTGTATATTTGTACTTTGTTATTCAACTTTTCTGAATAATATCTATATAAACGTAAAACATATGTTGTACCTACTTATTTTATAAATAAATGCATTTTCGATATGTAAAAAAATATAAATAGACTAAGGGCCATTAACATGAGTAGGGAAATTTACAGGATCAAACCCCCTGATTCTCTTTTCACAGTATGAAAATATTATATAGACGTGATGACTTGAGTTACAAAATTATTATTTGACATCGAAGTTTGAACCGTTGTTTGCAATCTTGTGCATTCCGTTTAAAATAAAATAATATTATCTTATTTATCTATATTTTCCTTAAATTCGTTGTTAATTTCAATTTTGTAGTTATTAATATTGTTTTTGTGTACTACATATCATAATCTACATAGCTGTGGTGTACTATGACGGAACGGTGCTCTACTAAGTATTAATATTATATTGTTCGATGGATTTAACACGGGAATTACCGCATAAAATCATTAATATCAGTCGACACACGCCAGTAGCGCAATCA